GGATTTGATTCCCCGTTAAAACCAGTGGGCAATGTGATAACCAAGCCCCCTACCCTTGAAAAAGAAACTTCTTTTGAGTCCATTAGTGTCAGCCCCCTCAAAGGTGGGGAGGGAAAATTCTAAGAGGCTTGAAGAAAGTACGTAGGGAGAAGAGGCGTGAAGATAAGGAAAGTCCTGAGTTCTCAGAAACTTCTTTATCTTATGTACCACCTCCCGCCCCCCACCCAAAGCTAAGTGCAATGATTCGGCTTCTGTACCTTTGCTTGCTTGCTGTGACACAGAAAATAGGGCATAAAGACCCATTTGATCTGCCATTCGTGGTCGCTTGCTTAAGGGCAATGACCCCTGTACAGGTATAATAAATTTCTATTGATTATTTACATTTAAGTGGGGTCTGTATCTTTTTTTCAGTTGTGCAAGTCACTACAGGAGGTGAGAGTTAAAGGGTACATGGTTTCTTTATAAGATGATGGAAATGTTCAAAAATGGATTGTGGTTGATGGTTGCACATATCTGTGAAGAGACTAAAAAACACTGATTTATATATTTCAAATGAGTGAATTATGAAATGTGAATTTTATTTTAATAAAGCTCTTAAAAATAAAGAAGTCAAAGCCATATATTAGCCTGAGAAGACTAACATCCCATCACTACAAAAAATAGAAATATTAGCCAGGTGTGGTAGAGCACCTGTAGTCCCAGATACTTGGGAGGCTGAGGTAGAACTACTTGAGACTAGGAGTTTCAGGTGACAGTGGGCTATGATAATGCCACCCTACGATAGCCCTAGTGATAGGAGACTCTGTCACCCAAAAAGAAGAAAAAAAAAAAGGCATACAGACAGGAAAGGAAGAGATAAAAAAAATTCCTATTTGTAGAGCATGCCTGTCTACATTAGAAATCCAAGTGAATAAAAAAATGCATAAAACTAATAAAAAGTTCAGCAAGATCATACAAACATCAATCCCACTTCTACATACTAGCAGTACACGTGGGAATACCAAATAAGAACATGATGTCCTTTTACAATCACTCCTTAGGCATATAGTTCACAAAGACCACACAACATTGATGAAATACCTAAATAGCCAAGTGTTCACCAGCACCTGCAGATGCTCAGGACCCTATATGAAAAGGCATAATATTCTGGGTGGTGCCTGTGGCTCAGTGAGTAGGGCACCAGCCCCATACACCAAGGTTGGTGGGTTCAAACCCAGTCCCAGCCAAACTGCAACAACAAAATAGCCAGTCATTGTGGTGTGTGCCTATAGTCCCAGCTACTTGGGAGGCTGAGGCAAGAGAATCGCCTAAGCCCAAGAGTTGGAGGTTGCTGTGAGCTGGGATGCCACAGCACTCCACCAAGGGCAACAAAATGAAACTGTCTCAAAAAGAAAAAAAAAAAAGAAAGAAAAGGCATAATATTCCTTATAATTTACTATGCACATTCTACCATATACTTTGATTTATTCTTAGTTTCTTAGAGATAGGATCTCACTCTTGTCACCCAGGCTACAGTAGAGTGGTACCACCATAGCTCATTGCAATCTTGAGCTATGGTTGCACCCACTACCCAGTAGCTGGGACTTCAGGCACAGATCACCCTGTCTGGCTAATTAAAAAAAATTTTTCTTAAAGAGAGATTTCATTATGTTGCCCAAGCTGGTCTCAAATTCCTGGCCTCAAGCAATTCTCCCACTTCAGCCTCCTAAAGGGCTAGGATTATAGGTGTAAGCCACCCCACCTGGCCATTTCTTTTGTATACTTTATATCATCTCTGATTACTTAAAATACCTAAAACAGTATAAATGCTATATAAACTTATAATGTATACTTTTAAAAAGTTGTACATTTTCTTTGTTGCTGTATTTTTCAATCCAGGGCAGGATGAATCTGTGGATATGGAACCCAAGGATACAAAAGGCTGACTGTATTGTACACATGGATCAGAAGATTCAATAAAGATGTTGAGTCCTCCCAAACTGATCTACAAGTTTAATGACATTCCTATTAAAATCCCAGTGAGGATTTCTGGTAGACATTGACAAGCTTATTCAAAAATTTATATTAAAGAACAAGGAAGGAACTAGAATAGCTAAAACAATCTTTTTTTTTTTTTTTTTTTTTTGAGACGGAGCCTCAAGCTGTCCCCCTGGGTAGAGTGCCATGGCATCAAGCTCACAGCAACCTCCAACTCCTAGGCTCAAGCGAGTCTCCTGCCTCAGCCTCCCAAGTAGCTGGGACTATAGGCGCCCGCCACAGCGCCTGGCCAATTTTTGGTTGCAGCCATCATTGTTTGGCGGGCCCGGGCTGGGGACTCGAACCCGCCACCTTAGGTGTATGTGGCTGGCGCCTTAGCCGCTTGAGCCACAGGCGCCGAGCCAGCTAAAACAATCTTGAAAGACAAAGCACGAGGACCCATTTACTCTACCCAACAGTAAGACCTACTTTATAGCTATAGTAAATCAAAGATATAGTGATACTAGGGGAGAGACAGGTAATACAGATCAATGGCACAGAATAAAAAACCCAGCAATAGGCCAGACATGGTGGCTCATTCCCATAATCCCAGCCCTTTTGAGAGGCCATGGTGGGTGGATACTTTGAGCTCAGGAGTTCTAGACCAGCCTGAGCAAGAGCAAGTCTCTATTAAAAATAAAATACTGAGCCGGGCATTGTGGTGTTTGTCTGTAGTTCCAGCTCCTTGGGAGGCTAAGGCAGGAGGATTGTTTACACAGAGGAGTCCAAGGTTACTGTGAGCTAGGCTGATGCCACGAACTCTAGTACCTGCGACAGAGTGAAACCATCTCAGATAACACTAAAAAAATCTCTCAAAAGCAATAAAAAAGCAAACGATTCAATGAGAACATAGGCAAAAGATATGAGACATTTCACCAGAGGACAGATGGCAACTAAATGTCTATTCCTTATCACCTTAATCAAAATGAGATGAAATAATGTTCAGTACCATTAGCTATCAGGGAAATGTAACTTAAAATCAAGAAACAGGGCTTGGAGCCCGTAGCTCAGTGGCTAGGACGCCAGCCACATACACTAAGGCTGATAGGTGGGAACCTGGCCTGGGCCTACTAAACAGCAATGATAACTGCAATTAAAAAAAAAAAAAAGCCAGGAGCTTGTAGTTCCAGCTATTTGGGAGGCTGAGTCAAGACAATCACTTAAGCCTAAGAGTTTGAGGTTGCTGTGAGCTGTGATGTCACAGTACTCTACCCAGGGCAACGGTAGGAATATGTCTCCAAAATAAATAAATAAATAAATAAATCAAGAAACATTTCACATATGTAAGTATTATTAAAATAAAGTCAATGACAACACAAAACATTGAAGATATGGATTAACTGAATCCTTCATACATTGCTGATATGAATGTAAAATGATACAGTCACTCTATTTTCTTTTTTTATTTTTGTGGTACAGTTACTCTATAAGACAGCTTGGTACTTTCCAAAAAAACCTCAAAACATAAACTCCCTATGACCTGGCAGTTGCATTCCTGGGCATATTTATCTCAGAGAAATGAAAATTTACACAAAAGCCTAGGCACAGATTTTCTGGCTACTTTATAGCAAGAACTAGAAAGAACCCAGATGTCTTCCAATAAGTAAGCAAGTGTTAGAGCCACACCATGAAACAAAGAGCAACACAGCTGTAAAAGCAGTAAGAAGTAATGAACTATGGGCACATCAATTTGGTTGAATGAGAATTCAAATTCTCAGAGAACTTTGAGAAGTGAATAAATCCAATTCCAAAGTCCACATTCTGTGATTTCCTTTATGTGCATTCTTAGAATGACAGAAAAGTTGTCATTTGGTGGTTATGGACAGGGAGATATAAAGATAAATGGCAAAGCAAGGGGACCTTGTGGAGGTGGGAATGTTCTCCAACTTGACTTCTGTTCCTGTCAGTGCCAGGCTATGACCTTGCTTCCTACTCTGGATGGGAATCACTGGATCATTACTTACAACTTCACAGAAACATGCAGTTATCTCAAAATGTCTAAGTCAGGGGCCCCAAGTGGTGAATAGGCCAAGCTTTTATTTCCTCAGACACATACCAAGGTTCTTGCAATTCCTTGGCCTCATTCTTGCAGACCCTGTGCTGCCTCACCATCAGCACTCGTCCTTACTGTCCCTTCACTTTGGGATGCTATTCCTTCTTCTGAACCATCTCTGGCTGCTGTTTCCCCTCCCACTGGGCTAGGAATCACTCAGCAGTGGCAACCCAACAGGCTATGCAAAGGACAAGACTGTGCCAAACTGTGCCTGACAGCTCCTAGCACATCTGGCCCAAAGCTACCCCAATGCTTGGGACAGTGGCCAGGCTTCATGTAGACTTGCTCTTTGTGAGGGAATGGTCTGGGGTGGCAAGCAGGCAGCAGGCTCCTCCATTCTGAGCCTCCCCGGCTGTTCCCCCATCTAGCAGGGCTGGAGGGGACCCACAGTGGCCCAACTCCCTTTCAGTCAGGTTCTGCCAATGAGAGTCTCCACTAAGGTGAAAGGTAGAAACCCTGCTGCTTTCTAGTACTTAGCAGCCCCTGGAGCACCAGCAAAGAGGTCTCTAGGACCCCATCTGGGCAGCAGGTTCCTGCAATGGCAGCACAGGTACTCACTGGACATGGTGATAAGGTCAGTGATGAACTCTAGCTCTGGGCCTGCAATATCAGCCAAGTGGGTTCTTCTCTCCCAGAGCCTCCCAAGTGCCCACCCATCCCTCATATCACTTGTCACCTCAGGCTGTTTGGGTCTCTTCCACCTACCTAGGTGTGAGATGACAGACGGTAGGGAGCTCCCCCCACCTCGATGACAGGTGGGAAGGTCCCCTGAGGAAGACAGATGCTGGGAGATATGGGCAGTTGAAGACCTTGGTCTGTTCCTAAAGCTAGTCCCTTCTGCTGACAGGCAGGTAAGTATAAAGGAGAGCCATGCCCAGTACAGGAAGGTGAGAGTGATGGGGTGGGGGTGACAAAAGCCCAGGAAGCCTCCTGGTGTCCAACACCAAAATTAAAGATTTATTACCCACAAGAGGATGCTCTGTCCCTTGGAGCTGCTGGCCACCCTCCCCACTCTGGCCAAGGTCCTGCACTGAGGTTTATCCTCAAGGATGACACCTCTTGCCTGCTCAGCACCAATGGCTAGGCCTTTGGGCAGAGAGCCCCTAGGTGTGCAGTCCACACTGTCGGCACAGGTCACTTGGCCAACTCCTCAGCCACTGCTTTGCGCATCTTGTCTTTGAGGTAGGCCCCTTTCTGCCATTCAGACTTGAGTTCCACCCACTCATAGAATGGGACCTGGAAGGAGAGAGATCACAGAGGTTGGGGGGGACCCCTTCTAGCCACTGTTCACTTGCTGCCATAACACCGACCCCTCATCTGCCAGCACTTACAAGTGACCAAAGCTCTGCACACCTGCCTCTTAGCCTCCAACCTCAAGGAGCTGCAGGCAGTATGAGTGGTTAGAGGGTTCTGCACCGTTAGTGTCAGAAGTGTCTGCAAATTATGCAGAGCCTAAGGGGCTTCTGAATTTTAAAGCAGTGTTGTTAAAAAAATTCTACAACAACCCAAAGAAAATGCGACAGAACACTGTGTGGCCCATAAAGCCACACACTTATTCTCCAGTGCCTCTCAGGAAAACTGTACACTTTTGGATTTGGCCAGTGTTTTGTAGGTGTGTGTCTTTCTGCTTCTGGATCAGACCACAGCAGGGAGCTCTGTGCCAGTCACAACACTGGACTTGGGCACCCTGCCAGTCTTCCCCTTTCTGAGAACAGATCCTTATCAAGGAGGCAGAGCAGCAACCCTTACAGCTCCGCTTGGATGCTATACTACCCTCCTAAGCTTCAAACCCCATCTGCAACAGAGCTCAACCCTGCTTACCTCCAAAGCTGAACAAATAGGCCTGGTGACCTTTCTGGATAGACCTATGGAGGCCAAGCACTAGGTGCTATGTTGGAGGCTGCGCAGGGAATAGGAGAGATGGAAGCAGCCAGAATCCATAGGAAAACTCCTTCCTGGGCTCCTGGGAGAGGGGCTGGGTGCCACAACCTAGGGCTCTGTTTGTAACGTTTTGGCTCCCAGGCCTGGTTGTGATTTCACCCAATCCCCACTTCTCCCATGTGGTGACCATGCATGGTGACTTCTCCCATGCGGTGACCACCCAAACGAGAGGTACTCACGTCCACCACCAGGAAGCCTGCAGCCAGCACGTGTCGCCGGGCCAGGACAAAGCGACCCAGCAAGTCCTTGCTTCGGCTGTTGAAGTTGGAGAACTCCCACCGCAGGAAAGCTAGCCTGGCAGGAAGAAGGGGTGGCTGACAAGCACCCACTCTCCCAGCCCCTCAGAAGGGAGAAGAGGAAAAGCAGAGGAAGAGCCACAGTATGCAGCCCAGGAGATATGGAGCCATCCATGGCCTTCACAGGTGCCCTGATACACAGGTCCCTGCACACCTACCTCTTAGCCCCTGGAGGTAGCAGCTGGCTTCCAGCTGGCTGGGCAAGGTGAGGTGCCACAAAATCCCTCAGGGGCAGAAACTGGCCATCAGCATCCAGCAGCACCTCAGCATCTGAGAAAGGGTGTGGGATACCAGCACATTGGGGGATGCCCCTCAGAGACCTCTCCCCTTGGGAAGGATGGACAGATAGGGTGTGTGTGTGGGGGAGCCCAGGTTAATGTTCTGGGTCATTAACTCTGGGTCAGTCCATGCTGCAGAAGGGGCAGGGTTAGAACTGTTCTATAAGGATTCAGAAAAAATCAGGCCCCATGCTAACTGGGAAAGACCCTCACCCAGCACCCAGCCGTATTGCGTGGCCACCTCGAAGCTGCCCTCGTTGGCACTTCCCAGTAGTCCCTTCAGAATCCCTTGTAGCTCCTTCTGTAAGGGGGTCACCGTCTTGTCAAGGGCTAAGGACCTGGGGGCCACAGCTGAGGCTGGCAGGAAAGGACCCGTATACTCAGGGTGCTCCAGCTGGGCAGTGGCATTGATGTGGAGAAGCTTTTGAAAGGTGTTCTGATCCTTCTGAGATGTGCCCCCTGGGGAATGAGAAGAGTGGGAAGGGTGAGATGTGCCAGGGCCAGGAGGATGGAGAGGGGCCCATATGGGAAGCAGCAGCACCCTCAGCCTTAGCCCAGTTCTCTGGGTCAGGAGGCAGCAGAGCGAAGGTGTGTTGACCACTCAGAGAATGAATGGAGAAGGAGTGAAGGCGGTTGGGCAGCACCGATCTCCCATCTCTGCTCTTATTTCTCACCTGGCTCTGTGCACCAATCAGGGAGCCTCTCATCAATGTGGGGTATGGGGCTTACCTAGAAACTGGGCATGAAATTCAGGGCAGAGGACGGCTCGCAGCTCCTTTTCCCTTGCCTGCTGCAGTATACACAGGGACCAGATCAGGTCCACCTGCAGGGCTGGCTCCAGGCCTGCCAGTGCTGGCTCCAGCTTCTCGTGCACCTGAGAAAAACAGGGTGTGGTAAAGAAAGCAGGCTTTGCCCAGGGGCTGCAAATAGCCACAAGCAGACCATAGTCCGTCATGTGGTCTCGGCCTGGTCACAGTGAGGTCAGAGGTGGCACTGGTCAGCAAGAGGTAGAATCCTGGCCTTTGGTCAAGTCCAGAACAATCCTGGGCTTAAAGGTACCAGGAATGTTCCTCTTGCCCTAAGACCACTCTGGACAGAAGGAAGAGCACTACCTAATTGCTGGCATTTGAAGAGGTTTACCTATACTCTGCCTACTGGCAGAGCCCTAGGGCACAAACATCTCTTCTCTAGTAATGTCCCCAAGTGGGAATATGGGACAAGGGAAGAGGTGCCTCTGATCCTTTAAGAGGAACACAGCACCTAAGGTATAAAGTAGCCCCCACAGTCCTGCCCCCTATACTGGCTGTTCTTAGGACTGAGCCAGGCAAGCACCTGTCAGAGGCTCCCAGAGTCTGGAGCCAAACCTGGTCAGCCTGCCTTTGTAGGACACCATGGAGATGTTCATGAGGAAAGCAACCCTATCACCCGAAGCTGGTTCCGTTTGCCATGGAGCCCTTTCCTCTGCCAAGCCTTCCCAGCAGGTCTCTGGAGTGGCTCCCTGGAGGTTCTGAGCTTCAGCAGGGCATTAAAAGCAGTCTCAGGAAACAAGATGTACTCTCCTAGCCTTGCCTGGTAGGGAAGTCAACTGGATGGCACAAAGGATTTCCTGTTTGTTCACAATGAGCCCCAGGATGCCAAGCTCCAGGCAGTTCCCTGTCCCTTCCCATGCCAGGTCTTCTTACATCCTGCTTTAGTACCTAGGGGTCTTGTGCCAGGCATAGCAGCCTCTTTCTTCCTGCCTAGCCTGAGCTGCTCCCCAGAAGATGGCTCATGAGCCCTTAGCTGGCTAGGGAGAGGGTAAAGATTGGGGAATGGGAGATCAGGGACTGTACCAAGTTGAAGAACTGATCCTCTTGTTCTGGATGGAAGTTCAGGCGGGCAAAAGCCAGGACCATGCTGCACAGGTGGGGCAGGATGACGTCCTGTGCTCTCTTCAGGATGTGCTGGGCAGGTGAGGGACAACAAAGAGACAGGATGAGGTCTCTGCCCAGGATGCTGTCCTCCTACCCAGATTAGAATCTTAGTGAAGCCTGGGTAGCCAAAGACAACTACAGAACCCTCCACCCAGGACCCACAAGTTGCTGGGCAACTTCCTCACCCAGTAGCAATGATCTATAAAGGACAGGGGACACCTAGAAACTGCCTCCGTCTGACAATGGCTTTAGAAATATTCTCCAACCAATACTTTCTTTACAGTTGCATTTGGGGATGGTAGCAACTGTTCAGCAGAGAGGTCTGAGTCATTCTCAGCCTCACTATCTGCACCACTGCCTGTTACAGCAACTCCAAGATGGATAGAAACACTTAGAACAGTCAATGAAAAAAACAGGAATGAGTTCTCAAATGTTTTTTCCACCACTGAGTAATCTTCCAAATAAGTTAAGAAGTAAGAAATATGTATCTGCCACCTACAAGTGGGCATTTTTAGACTGGCTTTGCTTCCCTAATTAAAGCGTTATTTTGCAATAGATGCCCTAAGTCAGTGCCTCTAAGTTGGGGCCAGTCATGGAGAGCCCCCGGGGCCCAGCTATCCTCAGTGGTGTGGAGCTGGTTGGCCAGGCCTTGGATCCTGGAGTCAGTCCCAGCTCACCTGGGCAAAGGCCTCAAACAGAGGCAGGTTAAGCCACTTGAGGAAGGCGAAGGATTTGGCACAGTTGGCTACCTCACCAGGCGTCAGGCTGGGCATGAGGGACAGCAGGTCAGCAGCCAGGCGCTGGGACACTTGGGTCTGATGAAAGCCAAGTTTGCCTTTGGGACAGAGTAGACCAAAGGATTTAGCTGGGGAAGGTCAGCGGTCACCAGCCAGCTCCACCCTACTTCAGCTTTGAGGTCTAGAAGCTTGATGTCTGTAACCAAATTTATCCCTGAACCTGGGACATAGGAACAGGGCCCATGGGTCACAGTGTTTCTGTGGCAGCCTTCTGGGCCAGTGCCTACCATAGGTAGGGCATGCACTGAATTTGACACAGCTGCAGTTCTCCTCTGCTGTTCTGTTGGAAAGACTCACCATAGCCATAGGCCAGGTCCAAGAGCACGCCTTTTGTCAGAGGGAAGGGCTTCTGCACAAGGTGGTAGGAGATGGCCCGTAGCAAGGGCACAGATCGCCGGTTCAGAGCTGCCAGTGTCACCAGCACCTTCCGCAGTTCGTTGGGGCCAAACTGCTCCACCAACTCTAGGCACTGTCAACCACAGCCGCGTAGGGGTCAGCTCAATGGCCTGAGGTAGCAGGGACGAGCTGGGGGCAGGGGTCCCATCCAGTGCAGCCCCTGCGAGACAGCAACTGGGCCTGAGCTGACTAAACACAGGCCCATTTGTGCAGGGCCTGTAGCCTTACCTGCCCCAGGGAACTCATGAACCTGGTGCACAATGTCCGTAGCTTAAGCTGAGAGAGAGTGGGACATGCAGGGTCTGGCTTAGGCCTGGCTAGCACTTCTGTGTAACTTCAGGAGCTGCCTGCCATGCGTACCTCTCAAGATTGTACCCTTGATAGGATTTTATAAAGGTGCAATCAGGGAAGCACTTGGGTTGGGAGGAGCGTGTGGGTAAATAGCGCTTGATAAACGTGGCCAAGGGGCAACCTCCTGCTGCTGCCCAGAGTCCTCTAGTTCTTCCCCACATGATACCTAAGACTGGACAAAAGCTTCCCAGGCTCTTGTCCCAATGCAACTTACAAATCCCTCTGCTGAGAACTGTCCCAAAGCCCTGGGGAAGGAGGCCAACTGCCACCTGCTCTTGGGCCTTGTACCTTGTCTTCCAGGCGGTTCATCAGTGACTCCGAGAGGTGCCCCACTTTCATCATGATGGCCACCACTGTGCGGCCATCTTCAATTTCTGTCCAGCGCCTCTCCAGATGCATGAGCAGCTCAGCCAGCAGCTCCTGAGAGCACTGCTCCTGCATGTAGGTGGCACAGGACTCCGCCAGGAAAACCAGGTGCTTGTAACTGAGTCTCCGCAGGCGCCAGCGGATCTCCTGCTCCACCGACAGCAGCACTTTGGAGTCCCTGGGGAGTGCCAGAGCATACAGGCTCCGCAGCAGCTTCACGAGGGCCCCATTCCACACCACAGTTATCTGGGCAGGGAAAGAACACAGGTGAGGTCACATGTGGCACCTTGTTGATCCCGTGTGAGTTGGGAGCTACCTCTGTGAACTTCCTCTTACGGGCATTTACTACAATTCTTCAAAGAGACAAGAGTTACCTCCCCAACCTGTTCTATTGGGGCCCCAGAGCTCAGAGCTCATGAGAAGCCTTACTCAGTTTTGAGGTCTAGAAACTTGCTGTCTGTGACCAAATTTATCCCTGAACCTGGGACACAGGAACAGGGCCCATGAGTCACAGTGTTTCTATGGCAGCCATCTGGGCCAATGCCTACCATGGGTATGGAAGGCACTGAATTTGACACAGCTGCAGGCATCTACACAGCTCCCTTTAGGCTTTTGGTGAGGTCCAAAAGCATGCCTCCAATCCTGGTCCTCTAGCCTCAAACAAATTGAGAATTTCGTTTGCTATTCCTTACAAACAGAACCCTGGGTAATAAGAAAAATTCTCTGAGTTTCCATAATGAAAATTTGACTTGAGATAGCTGATTATATGGAGACCACACCCTCTTCACATATGGCTCTGGCTACAGGTCTGTGTGGTGGGCAAGCAGACCTGAGCTGCAGATAAAGCTGTTAGGTGAAGACTGGAGGTCAGAGAAAGGGCCTAAGGGATGTGACCCGATGGCCAGGTTTGCTAGGATCAGTCCTGTCACTAACTTTACTTGCAATGATGTTAGAAAAAACCACTGATTTTTCTCTGGTAAACTGTTCCTCTAGGGGCATGTGACCCAAACACCAGCTCCTTGACAGTCAGCAGAGGCAGGCGCTTCCCCATGCAGGAAGGTTCACAGGAAGGCTTTGATAAAGGGTAAAAGGACTCCTGGTATCACTAAGCCCTGCAACCTCAAGTGCTGAGGCCTCCTGGAGATGAACAAGCTAGTACCACCACCAGAAGTACCTCTGAACAGGCTCTAATTAAATTCCAGCCATCCTCTACACATATACTCCTATAAGACACCAACACCCTGTGAGATACCATCAACCCCACTGCACATGTAAACAAAGGTCAACTTATTTCCCTGAAGTGTCAGAATAGTTCTGGATCCAGAACCTGCACCCTAGTCCCACCCTCTCCACCGGTGCCTGCTTTGTCTCTGACGAGGTGGACTCTGCTATACAGGGAATGTGCCTCCATGCCTCAGAGGTCCAAGATTTCACCATGGGCAGCAAGAACTTTGGTTGGGCAGTACTTCTCCTTTTCATCCCTTTGGCCCAAACTCCATCCTCATGGAAGAGAGCAGATGATAAAACAAGCATGAGGTCATTTTCTGCACCAAGTCTCTCAATGCTGAACCCCACAGCTCAGTCTCTTTACCTAAAAATGGGGCACGGTAACCACCTATATAGACAGGTGAGCTGGGGACAGAGAAGGCACTGTCTGAAGGCTGGGGAGGAGTTGAAGCCTGGGTGCCTGCATCTTTCTAGTTTTCGGACAGTAGGAAAATCTTTTAAAAGAAAATGCTGGCTCGGCGCCTGTGGCTCAAGCGGTTAAGGCACCAGCCACATACACCTGAGGTGGCAGGTTCAAATCCCCAGCCCGGGCCCGCCAAACAACAATGATGGCTGCAACCAAAAA